CTCCCAGGTAATTTCGAGATTGTCTTAATTGTTTAAACCTGTTTTTTAATCTATTCATTTGACTTGATAAAATTTCTCTTTTAAAAAAGTTTTACAGTAGCATCTTGATCAATGTTGCTGCATTTGTGTATAGGAAAGCAAATAGTACAATAAGCCTGGAATTTAGGGTGGTGGAAGTGAGAGAAAACTCACTGACGGCTTGTTTCATTCAGAGCAAGAGATGGGGGCCGGGGGTCGGGTGGGGGGAACAGAGACAGAAAGAGGTGGGGCCTGATTTCGGCAGCGACATCCCCTTACTTGTGTGGCTGTATTTTATTAGTTAGAAGGGATCACTAGTCCGGCCCACACTCAAGGGGAGAGAATTGCACAGGGGAGTGACTATCAGGGAACAGTAATAATTGGGAGCATTTTAGAGGCTGCCTTCCACATCTCCCTTTGCTTTCTAGAGGTGACTATTTCAACCTCATTCTTAAAGGGATCAGGCTAATTTCAGTCACAACCAAATAATGCTACAATTTTTAAATTAAGATTTCTCTACATGCCACATATTTCCTGGCCGAAGCCCAGAGTGTTTTCCTGTCTGCTGTATAATGCCACTCTTGTTCTCTAGAAGAGGTCGTCTCCTGTCAGGCCTTCAGTTCATACTCCTCTATTGACACGCTCAAATCTCTTGCCCAAATTTTATATCCTATGGCTCTTCATTTCTTCATTCGTCCTCCAAAAACTTCCACATTTTTCACTTTTGTTCTGTACTCTATATGCCTAAAACCCAAATGATCTTTGTTAGGACAGAAAAATTATTTTGAGACCAAGAAGGGAGAATTGATACAAATGTAATGCAACAGTATAATGGTCTAAATATTTTTTTACAAACTGCATACTCACTCAGACACTACTTATTCCCAGTCATTTAATTAGCGATGGGTATTTGCTGCAATCACATGTAAACTTCTACCAAATCTACCCATGTACTTGCATCTGTGTCCATATACTCTACCTTTTTCCCCCTTCCATGCTCCCCAGCAAAGGCCAAATCCTCCACTCAGGCTCCAGGACCCGTCTCCTTTCAGCTGTTCAAGGTCTGGAGCCCAGCTCTTCTAACAACGCTCAAGGCTGTTGCTCCAGCTACATTCTTTCTTTCCTGAATCATCAGTTTTCCCATTTCCACTGGGTCTTTTGTCAGAATACCAATGTGGTATGTTATTTCTCTTAGGGATCTTAGTATCTCTCTCTCGATCCCACCTGCTCTTCCAGCCGTCTTCTCTCCTGGTTAGTAGAGTCTTGGTGGGTATCTCCAGGCTTCTCCCCTCACTTGCTATGGAATCCTCTCCAACCAGTCCACCGAAACTGCCTTCTCAAGGTTACCAGTGACCTGTCTGTTGCTAAATCACAGGGTGAAGGCTCAGACACCCCACTCACCCTGTTAGCATGCTAGGCGATGATCACCTTCTCCTCTTGGGAACCCTGTCTTTGCTTGGCTCCCAGGACACCTCACCTGCCAACTTCCACTGGTGGCTCCTTCTGTCTGCATTGAGCACTCATCTCCACAGCTCGTTCAGGTTGGAGTACCTTGGGTGGTCTTGTCAGCCTCCTTTTTGCATCATACATCCAGTTTGTTAGCCATGTATGGTCTTCAAAATACATCCCAAATTCTACAACTTCCCACCAGCTGCACTGTTGCTACTGGGGTTCCCAGCCACAGCCCTGACTTGCCTGGATGGTTGCAGTAGACACTTAACTGTCCTCTCTGGCCCCTGCTCTGCTTTACAAAGTGCTACTCTCAATGCAGCCACTACAATGATCTTGTTTAAATGATCAGACCATACTTCTGCTCAAAATCCTCTCACTTAAAATATAAAGTAAGGTTCTAACAATGACCCACAAGGCCCTCAAAGATTTTCCTGCACCCCTCACCTCTTTGGCCTTATCTCCCTCTGGCTCCCCTTTGGGTTCCCACAATGCACCAGGCAGGCTCCCACAGGGCCCAGCACTGCCATTCCCTCTGCCTGGACCACTTCTCTCAGTAAGCGACCCTTCACCTCCTTTAGGTTTTTCTTCAAAGGCCACATTCTCAGTGAGGCCTTCCTGACCAAGCTATTTAAAAATTGCAGCATATGTACTCAGCACTTCCCTCCTCCCTTGCTGTTTTTCTCCATTTTATTTACCACCACCTCATATGCTGTGCAATTTGTTTTTTGTGTACTTCTCTCTATTGGACTGTCAGGTCCACCAAGGCAGGGGTTTTTGTTTTGCTCACATTGTGATCCTATCCCTGGAACAAGTCTTTCACACAGTGGGACTCCATAAATACTTGTTGAATACTGAGTGACGAAATGAGTATGTAAGAAGCAAATCCCATTCAGGGGGCTGAAAGGGAAATTCTGTGATGCTAACAGCCCTAACTTTGCCCTTGGCCTCCTCCTGTTCCCCCTGGAAATCCATTAGGACATACTGTGTGCAAGCAGAGGTAGACCCTGGATGTACAATAGAACTAGGAGAGAATAACTTCCATTTGGTTTTACCCAGTAATAGTGACTTTAACAGAGGACAGAATGACCCACCAGTAGTAGTGTAACTAAACTGAGCACTTTACAGAAATGAAAAAGCTTGGTGACTCCCACCTCTGTTCAGCTTGGCTTTCTGCTTCATCCAGGCCCCTTGAGTAACTGGCATTTACACAAACACACCTTTTTTTGCTTTCCTTGGTTGGAAATCTTCAGATAATTTTTCTTAGTATTGAAAATGAAATACTCCCTCTTAACTTTTCTGTATTTGTCAATATACAAAATAGAGTTGCAAGACATCATATGCCCTCCACATATAATGAAATCCCTTTGCAATGTTTTCAAATTATCCTTTTCTGCCATCACTGTAACCTAAAATATTTTCATTGGTAACACCATTATTGAATTAATATATAATATTGTGACCCAATGGCATCCCTACTTCCTGCTCCAGGTCAGCCTTCATATTGTTTTAATATTATAACTATTATATTTAATACAGTCCCACTTAGCCCTCTAATCCACTCTTATTCTCTTCCAGTTGAAGTGTTGAGCTTTATATTCCACACAGTTGCTCAGAGCAGATGTTCATTCCTGTCTCAAGCATCCATAACTCCCCCATCAATGTAGATCTTAGCCTTTCTTCAGGGTCCAGCTAAAACTTTCTTTTCTGAGATTGATTTCTGGAGACTATCTTGATCCAACATCATTCCTTGATTCTAAGTGCCTTAACAATTCTTACGGTGTTTCACCAAATGCTGGATGCTTACATATTGCCTTGATTTGTTTTCTGATAATTTCTGATGTCATTTGTTTTTCCTTAAGAAATGTTCACATTTTAAAAACATTTAATGTAAAGGACAGGTAAAATCAGTACTTTGAAAAGCAGCCTTAGGGTAAGTAGTTAACTTCTGAGATTCAAATTGATGGTTAAAAAAGCAACGCAAGTTACTCGTCTACAAGGCAGACTCTCCTTGGAATACGAATGTATTGGTGACACAGGTGTATGAGAGGTGGGATTGTTATATTATTGTATAGTCTCAGGTGCGTAAGTTACTTTTGCACTATCATTTATTCATAATTATGCTTTTATTTGGGCATAATTGTTTTTTTTCTCTATCTTTTGGCTTCCCTCCACATATACTTCCAACACTTAGTTCAGAACACATGTGAGGGATGGGATTGTGATGTAGGAAAAGGGAAAATCACAGATTAAGCCAAGTCATTAAAAATCCTACTCATTTATTTAAAAATCTAATTAAGAACTTAACAAACACAACTTCTTTAGGCTTTTAACTCAACAGTTCGTAGTTGAACATTTTTCCCGTCGCAACTCTCAATACGGAATCCCGGTTTACCTGGAAGAGTGATTATTTTTGCCCTATAATTTCTTATTAAAAACAAATTTGGAATAACTTTAACTTCGTTGACAAAGCAAACGGGTAGACTGTATGTGTCCTAGCAGGATATTCCTAATTCCTCTGAGTTGACAGGTTTATTTCAAGATCGTTTTTTAATAGCTGAAAATGTTGCAATCATCCAAATATTTTCCAGAGGCGTTATAATCCTTCATAAATGATTTTTAGCAGTGACACGTGCTTGGAACCGCAAACACAGAGGGTCTGGGCAAGACGCTTTGAAACGGAATCTTAAATAACTGTAACGTCGCTCTTGCCCGGGTTTCTAAGGCGATGGGCACTGAGGTCTCGGCCGGCCAAAGTCCAGCGGGATCGGAGCCTGCCAGGCGGCCAACGGGCAGCGGCAAAGTAGCGGGCAGGGTGCTCGCGGGCCGCGCGCCGGCCGCTCCGGAGCGCAGAGGCTCGCGGCTCTCCGGCCGAGACCGGCCCGACTGGAGCCGGGGCCCCGGAACGCGTCCCGCCGGCAGCCACGGAGCCTCCCGCGCGGGCCGGCCAGTCCGGGCCTCGGCTCCGCGCGCGGGGAAAAGGGCGCGCAGTTGAAACCGTTACCACCCCCGAGTTTTGAACTGGTTCAAACTTGGCTTTCGGCCCCGCCCCGCCCCGCAGGCCCGGGAACTCCGAGGCGGCGGTTCCCGCCAAGCGCCGCGAGCGCGCCGTCCCGCCCTCCGGCCGGGTCCCGCCGCCCCACCCAGCCTGCCTCCCGCCGGCAGCCGGGTCCGGAGGCCCCTCGTCCGCGCCCCGCCCGCCTGCCCGCCTGCCCGCCGCTTTCCAGAGAGGCGCCGTGCGCCCCGCGAAAGAACAAAGAGACTCCGCGGCGTTTCCACTCGGCGCAGCGCTCCCCGGCGCCCGCCCGCGCCCGCGCGCACGCGCCGCCCGCCCGGCCGGGCCGAGTCCCGCGGGCGCCTCTGCGTGGGGCCGACTCCGCGCCCCCGAGCCCGGCGGGCCCTGTGATTGGACGGGAGCCCGCCTCGCGGCCCGCCAATCGGGGCGGCGCTTGGTTGGACAGGGGGGGCCAAATAAAAGCGATGGCGATTGGGCTGCCGGGTTTGGCGCTCGGTCCGGGAGCGTCCGACACCCACTGGGACGCAGAAGGCGGTGGAGCCCCGGCGGCGGCGGCGGCGGCGGCGGCGGCAGCGCGCGGGAGCGGCGCGGGCTGGGGCGCGGGGCGCAGGTAACGCGCCGCTGGCGGCCGCCCGGCCGGCGGGGCTCGGGAGCACGGCAAGGGGCGGCGGCGGCGCCGGGACATCCCCGCCGTCGTGTGCCCCTCTGGGTGTCGCCCGGAGCGGGCTCTCCCGGGGCGTCGCTTTTGCAAGCGGGGTGAGAGGAGACCCCTCGGAAGGGGGCCGTGGGTCCGGGCTGGCCGCGCGACCTCGCGAGCGGCAGCGCCGGACCCCGGGGACCCGAACGGGAGCAGGGCGGGCGCCCGCGGGGTCGGACGTGGGGGGTTCTCTCGCGCGCCCGGCCCTCTGCAGGCGGCGGAGCCGGGCTGGGGGCGCTCGGGTGCCCGGGGCGGGCTGGCCGCCCCAGCCCAAGTCTCCTTTGTGTGGAGCGCGGCGGCGGGCGCGCCCGGGTGGGACGGGGCACACAACTTGGTGGGACCCCGCCGCCGAGTGCGCACTCAGACAAAGGGCGGACTGTGTCTCGGCGGCTCGGCGCGGGGAAGGGGCAGTGACACTGGGGCCTGACAGCGGGCGGGCGGGGGGCGTGGGGAGTCCGGCCGCGGGCGCGGGTGGGCGGGCTCGGCCCACGCCCCCTCCCCGCGCGCGCACAGGCTCGACCGGGGCCGCGGCGGCCGGGACGGCGCGCGGGGACCGGGTTCGGAGCCGCCGCGCGCCTGACGTTTCCCCGGAGCAGCCCCGGTCCCCGGGCTCAGCCCCTCGGAGTGGCGGTCCCGGGCCGCCGCCGCTTCTCGCTGGATTCCCGTTAAGTTTGAGGGAAGGTCGTGCTGTGCCCCCTTCTCGGTTTTGTTCTTTTGGAGGGCTTTCCCCCGAGTTCCCGCGTCATTGTGCTCCCTCCTCCAACCACCAAAAAGTGTGCCACAGGGTCACTTTTTGAAAATGGGAGGAATCGAGAAGCACGGGTTTGGAAAACTTGGTGAGCCCACGCCTAGTGAATTCCCACTTTTTGAAGAATCATAATCTTAAAAAAAAATTACAAGCTGTTTTGGCCAATTTATGTGATACATCTGAGAACGGCGACAGGTGCTAACGAAATCAACTGTCATTTAGTCAGCGATTATTCCCCAAATCCCTAGGGGTTGAATGAGGATGAGATGGTAGAAATACTTGATCAAAATAAAATGCTTGTGACAAATTGTGTTTAGATGATAGGGCTGGCTATTTCTTATTAATTGATCATGTTTTGGTGAACAATAGCTTTGGTGAGTCAGAAAAGATTGATTGTGGAAATGTTTGTTGCCTAAGAGAGTGAGTGTATGCTGTGCAGTTAAGCTAAACTTCCTTTGTTTATCACACAGGATCTGTAAAGTTTAAATTTGGAAATAAAAATCTGTCTTTGGTGTTTTTAAGTGTTTTACTACAACGTTTACTTTCTAGGTTTCAAAGTTCTTCAGTTTTAATACTATAGCGTTTTAAAGTTAAACAACATTTAAAAAAATCTTAAAAAATCTCCAGTGCTGGTGCAGTTGAATGTAACATTCTAAGGGTTTAGGAGTTCATTTTCCATTCTTCACTCACGAGTATTATTAGCAACTATTTCATACTTATGAATAAAATATAGAATAAGTGCATAATCCTAACTAGTTTATTGATAATTTTATTTGCAAAAAAACAAAAGGATTTAAGATGTAGTTTAATTGGTTTTTCGAGGTGTCTAAAGTTAGGAGTGGATTGGATTACAGTCCTAGACATAAAGAATCCTATTGTCTCTTTTTAGAGGTGTATTAAGAAATGTAACATTTAAAGTCTTGGAAACACTTAGGAAAATTACATCTTAAATTCTAGTTTTTGTGGAAAGTGAATATATTCAAAGAAAAGGAATTTAGAAATACATGGGTACTCTTGTAATTTGTATTGTTTTATCTGATGAAGATCTAATGTGCACTTACTATCTTAGTTTCATATAAATGGAGACAAAGAAATGCAGTGTGAAAGTCTATTATACATATTTTGTAGTGTTAGACACTATTGGACAGATATTCCAGGTGCTGTCCTAAGTGTTGAGATTAATGTTAATATTTATATTAGTTGCTGGAAATTATATATTAAAAAATAAAAAGTCCAGGTAATCTTGCCCATTGTTAGGAGTTAGTTACACAGATTTTGGCGGAAATTTAGATCTTTTCAGGTAAATTGTAATTTTCTCATGTATATTCTGTATTTGATAATCAACTACCTTTATACTTGACATGATACATTTCTAAAAGTCTTTTGATGAATTGACTTAAAAATGTGTTTTAAGTTTTTTCTAGTTGAATTGAGAATATATTTAGTCAAAGCAGTAGTGATTAAAAACACTTGTTGATTTAGTATAGCTAGGCAAAACAAAAAGTTGTAATGTTTTTATACCAGCTTTGTCTTTGTGTTGGCCATTTAAAATTTTTAGACAAATTTTTTTTGTGCCCAGGTCACAGTAAGGTTTTTCTAGGTTATCTCCCATTCTTTGAGCTGGTATGCCCAATGAGTGTGAATAAATTTCTGTATTGACCCTGGTGACCAGTGATTAAGAAAAGTTGATCTGCTTTTTAAAAACCAGCAAGGAACAATCCTCCCACAATCTAATGCATTCTAGGGTCAGTTAGAAATGATTTGTTGATTTGCCTTGAAGTCTTTATGTCAGTAAAAATGATGAAAACATTTCTGTGAATTATGAAGGGTTCTCTATGGTCAGATGAACTCTGGTTTGGAGGACAGCATGAGTGGAGAGGAACAGTTCCATCAATTCAGAGAAAGGTTCTTGATGAGATGAGACCTGTACCCTTAGGAGGCCCTCCCTGAGTTCCCAGGCACTCTTGAGTTCCACTATGCTTTGTTCATGCTTTTATTATAGCATGTGTCAGATTGTCTTGGAATCGGTAGTTTGTGCATCCTCCACTACATTTTCAGTCCCTTGAGGAAGAGGCTCTATCTTTTCTGTGTATACGTGGTAGTTCTAGAGAATGGGGATTTAACAGTTGAATGAATGAAGGAAATATAAAAAATATAGGGAAGTAATGGGACAAAGAAACTTGCAAAGTATATACAAGGTATGTTAACACATGTTGAACTTTGGAAGGTGTTTTTCTCTCTTTGAGAGGCAGTGATTACAAGAAAAATAATGATCAAGGTGAATAAGTTCAAGGTTTCTCTTAAGATTGAAAAGGTGCAGCCATCGATATTCATGTTTGTTGTTTCAGGCAGCTAGAGAGAAGTTTGGTGAATCATCTGGATACCTAACATAGTATCTCCTTAATTTGATTCAATGTTGATATTGATGATCATTGTACAAAAATAAAAGGAGGGGAAAACATTGGAGAGAAAAACCTCTTAACTGAAGTGTGTCTAGTTACAGTTAATGAGTTCTTTACTGGAATAATTTGAGGTAGGTTTTGAAGCTAAACTAAACCGAAGGAAGTAGTGTCAGTGTGATTGTGAATCATTTATTGGGATGTTCTTCATCATTCCCATAAAATGATAGGGTAAATGTAAATCAGTAAATCCAGTAATATCTCCAAAAGTGTAGCTTGTAAATTTCTAAGATGGTTGCATGGCTCCCTGTCTTGCCACAACACTACTACTTGGCACAAAAATACCACAAAAAAGGTGTGACAAAAAGACATTAATATTAAAGTGCCCACTATTTTCTAGATGCTTCATTTATTTGTTTGTTTGGTTTGCTTTTTATTGTGATAACATTCACATCAAAGGCTTTATTTTTAATGATTGTAAAAACCACCCTGAGTCCACCAGCAGATGAGTGGATAAACCATTGGGGGTACACACATACAGTGGAATATTACTCAACCGTTAAAGGAATGAACTATATGACACGGATGAACCTTGAAAACATTGTTCTAAGTGAAATAAGCTAGACACAGAAGGAGAAAAATTGAATGATTCCATTCATAGGAGGTACCTAGAATAGGCAAATCCATACAGACAAAAAGTGGAATACAGAGGTAACCAGGGGTAGAGGGAGGGAATGGAATGTTAAATGTTTGATGTGTACAGAGTTTGTGTTTGGGGTGATGAAAAAGTTCTGGACATGGATAATGGTGATGGCTGAACAACATTTTGAGTGTGCTTAATGCTACTGTATTATTGTATACTTAAAATGGTTAATTTTATGTATGTTTCCCAATATAAAAAGCTTCTAACAGTATCATACTCTGTAAACCTTTGCAGATAAGGAAGCTTTCGTTCAGAATGGTTAACAACTTGCCCACGATTATCCAGCTAGGAATTTGTAGTCAGAATCCAAACTTAAATTCTGCTTGACTCCTTATTACCTACTGGTCTCCTGGATGATTAATGACCTAGCAGTTCCAAGAAGAGTGAGTTTAATTGAATCAGAAAGGTATATTTAAAAGCAGATAATTGTAGCTTTATGGGAGGTACAATATGATGCCCCAGACTGACTGAAAGATGTCTTTGCAGATTTCTTTCTCTGCCAGAGCTAATAGTGTGTGTCCTAAGGGGCAGTATAGTGGTGTTTCAAGAGTGTGGTCTTTGGTTCCAGTTCTGAGCTGCCAATTTCTGCACTGGACAAGTTATCCTTGGTGTCTAAGTTCCCTGTCTGTAAATTAGTGATCATAATGACAGTGTTCATTCAGTCAGGTTGTTAGGAAGATTAAGTGAAATTAATTAAAACAGGTGGAAACCTTAGAACTAAACCTGGCACAATTGTTTGGTAAGTGATTTTTAGTTATTGTGCCAGTATTGTTTTTAGGAGTTCGGGAACTTACTCATTAATGGAACTAATTGCATCTCAAGTTTATATGCTTGAGACCTGTAAGTAAAGGGAATGGTGCTACATTTGCTTTATCGATTTCCATTTATTTAGAAATGTCTATTGTCTAATGTCTATGTAACACAAGTAATATGTATTCAATTTAAAATACTTAAATGCTTTAGATGTTTGTAAAATGAAGGCTTTCTTGATCCTTGTAATCTCATTCCCTACCCTTAACAGTTTCTTACATATTGTTCCCAAACTTTCCAATGTATTCATATGAATATGCATTTATACATACATTTTACAAAAATGGGATCAAGTTGTTCCAAAACAGTTTTTTTTAAGGTCAATACAGAGAGCTCTATTTCATTAAAAAATAGCTGATACTTCTTTAGGGCTTTGTGCTTGGCATCATTCTAAGTGCTTTCATTTATTTACAGTTTCTGTAATAACTATATTATGATAGGTGGACATATTACAACTATTTGGTGGCAGAGTAAGGATTTGAATCTGGGCCCTTTGGTTTCAGAGCCCCAGTCTCTCAGCCCTTGGTTTGTGTGTGTGTGTGTGTGTGTGTGTGTGTGTGAAACCCATGAACTATCAGTGATTTTAGCATTTCTTAAAGAGTTGTTAGACAGCAACAAAAAACCCCAAAAAATAATATGCAAGAAGACTGGATGTAGTCTGCCCAGGCTAAACCATGTGGCTCTTTATAGAAAAAGTCTGCCACTCCCTACTCTAAACATCACAAGGTTTTGTTGAGTAGAATATGTAGTAACTCTGTGATGGGCAGTGTGTTCTCTCTTCAAAAGACGTGAACCTCCTTAGATATCTTTGAACATTTGTGACAACTTTCTGTAAGGAGAATTGCTGTTTCAAGAGCCTGCACATTTCAGGTTTTAATAGATTCTGTCAGGCTGCTTCTAGAAAGTTACCAGTTTTTTAGTTAAATCACCTTTATTGAAGTATAATTTATATATAATAAAATGCACACATTTGAAGAGTACAATTTACAGTTTTGACAAATGTATGTATCTGTGTAACCATCACCACAATCAAGATACAGCATTGCTGATCACCTCAGAGCCCTTTTATGCTCCTTTACAATGAGATTTTTCCTGTTCAAGAATTTCCTGTAAAAGGAATTACACAGTATATACTCTTTTGTATATTGACTCTTTTGTGGCTTCTTTCATCCAGCATGTTTTTGAGACTGATGTTCCTTGGTTCAGTAGATTCTTTTTTATTTCTGAATAGTATTCCATTGTATGAATATACTATTTTTTATTCAGTTACCTGTTGATGGACACATGATTTGTTTCCAGTTTTTGACTTATTAATAAAGCCGCTATGAACATTTGTCTTATTTGTGGATACATTTTTAAATTTCTCTTGGGTAAATACCTTGTAGTTGGATTGCTGGGTCATGTGGTAAAGATTTAACTTTATAAGAAACTGCCAAACTGTTTTTCCAAGTAACTGCGCCATTTCACAGGAAGAGTTACTGTTTCAGTTGTAGCTGTACAGGGGTTACAGTTTCTCCGTGTCCTCACTTGGAAGCTTGATAGCACATCTTTTAAATTTTGTGCATTTAATGAGTGTTAAGTATCTCATTGTAATTTTAATTCCTATTTCCCAGGGGATCAGTGACACTGAATATATTTTCACATGTTTATTGGCCATTTGTATATGTTTTTTGGTCAGACCTTTTGCCTATTTTAAAAATTAGGTTGTTTGTTTCATTGAGTTGTAAGAGGTCTTATGTATAGCCTGGGTCCTCTATCAGATAGATGTTGCAAATATTTTCTTAATTTTCTACTTTGACTTTGTGTATTGACAATATATAGATCAAGTAATGTTAATACTGGAAGCGTAATTAAAAGTTTAAATTCTGTTTAATTGTTGAGAGTGAATTTATTCTTAACCTGCAGTATTTTGGTTCTTAGTATAATAAACTGTTATGTGTTTGCAGAAACATGGAAATGAAAAAGATTATATAGATAGTATTGGCTATGTGGCTTGGGGGATTTAAATTAAACTAACTAGTTTTGAAGGTGATAATATTTAGTAATGTAAATTTTCAATTTTGGGCAATTAAGACCTTTTATTAGTGAGTTAAACTTTTTCTTAAAAATGTCATCAAAGGATAAATGAGAATGTGAAAAGTAACCTTGATCTTAGAATCTACCATGTAGAAGTAATAAGATTGCCAAGCTTAGTCTATTTTGGCAGTTAAGTAAATTTTTGTTACATAAACATGACTTTTTAGAGTACATATACTTGATTTCTGTACTATTTTATTTCTGCTAAGTATCAGTTCTTTCTTTGGCTCAACAGCTAATTTACCCCCACAATAATTTTCAGTTTTTCTTCATTATGTAAGTCAATACATGACCTTTTCTGCTTTCTATTTAATAAAGGCAGGGGAGCAGACCTCTGGGCTTCTGCTGGGTGTCATGCACCAGTGTGCTGATCGTGTCACAGTGCCCCGCTCTGTCTCCCCATGGCTGTCAGTTGAGGTAAGAAGCTCCTAAAGTGGGCATTCCAGGCAGTCTACCGAACAGTCCAAACTCTCTTAACAAGTCTTAGCTCTGAAGGTTTTCTTCTACTGTTCCCCTATTGAATTAGTCTCCAGGAGGTTTCACATGGAGAGTCTGTGCTCTTTCCTCTTTCTGGAATGTCTCTTGTACCATTTTAGCGTCTTATCTTAAGATGCTTTTTAGCCTGTTTGGTTCAAAACACCCCTACCCCTCTTCCAACCAAACTAGACTGCTTATGTCCTGCTTAGAAATAGACACTGCAGCAATCTTTTGTATGTTTTTCTCTCTTCCTCTGCCCTTCGTTTTATGCTCTTTTACTCCTCTACATAGTAGAGGTTATAAAAGGGTTTTGTACATAGTAGATAGAAATATATTTTGTATGAAATTGATTTAGAACCAGAGTCCTGAAAACTTGGGTGATCTTTAATAGCAACTCAGTAAGTAATTACTAAAATGTCCCCCACCTTGAAGCAGAGCCTACAAGATTCTGTCGACTGAGTTTCGCATGGCTTATTATATATGTGTCTCACCCTGGGACTCTGCTACCAGCTGTTAGGCTCTATCATACAATTCTCATTTACATCCTTAATATACTGTTGATAAAAGTCAGAAGAAGGTTTTAAAAACTCTGATGGTGGAAAAAACTGAGAAGTATAAAATAATGATTCTGCAGATTTTATCTCAGGATTCCCTTAGTTGCATTCATGCAAAGTTAATTTCATATTTCCAGATGTCTCAAGTAAATTTTTAAAAAGTGTTAAAAAGACAAAATATCTTAACTATTTTATCCATTCTAGTACCTTGATTTTTGATACTAAAGACAATCGAAAAAGTGCTTGTAAGCAAAGCACCCAAATTTAAGAAAATCAGTTCATTTTCTTTAAACAGTGAAAGAAGTTCAGTCATTAAAATGGCGTTTGTATGTTCTTGATGCCATAGCCAATAGTGAAATGTCATTATTCTATTTGTAGGTACATGAGTACCCACAGATTTATTGAGAACCTGCCCTGTGCCTAATAAACATTCAGTCTCTAAACCAAACATTTTACTTTTGCAATTCTTTAATCATGCATTTTAATTATTTAAAAATAAACACCATTTATTATTTGTTAATTGGGAAAAGTATCTGTCCTTTGAGTATTATAAAAGGTTCTATTAAGATGAACTTTTACATTTTTTAACAGTCTACTGATGGTGGAAAAAGCTGCAGTGTATCCTTATAAAATTTTGATTTAACATGTTTCCATATTCAAATTATTTAGTAGTGGAAGTAAAGTTTGCAAAATTGTTCTTAAAATCCCTAATGGGTATTATGAAATCTGTTACCATGAAAATATTTATGGTTCCAAAAGGTTTGGAAATGCCCTTTTAGAGTAATCAAAATGGCAGAAAATTTTGCTTTTTGCTTGAAAAGGCTTAGAGGAAGGAAATAATGAGTTGTGCCACCTTGCCCCAGAGGTAAGTTTGCCTCGCTGGAGAATCTCAGCCTGAAATACAGAGCTCAAGTTAGGCTATAAAGAAACTTTCAAAGGGGGACTTCCCACTGGCACCTGGGTATTGGGCAAAGAATGTAGGCTCTGGGCTGTAAAACTAATTGTATAGTTTAAACTACTGCTGCCATTAAATTAGTTGTATTTCTTTGGCAAGTAGCTTTTGTGGATTTCATCTTCATCGCAAAATAACCAAGATTAACGAATAATGAACACCTTGGTGATCACTGAGGATTTACCATGGGCCTTTGAAGAGGATAGCTCTGGTTTGCAGGTGAAGAAATAGGGGCTTGGTGAAGGTAAGCAACTTAAGTAGGTCACATGGGCAGTAGGACCAACGCTTTTGCTGCCTGTAAGGTCTTTTTAGAGGACCTCAAATACTGGGATATGAAGTGCTTGATGTCTGTTACCCACTTAAAAGTAAATTTCTGGAGAGTTTGAGAAATACCGGACTTGAGTTCACATTGCCATCACAGGTCATTGTGATTCTCCCTAGCTGGCACTTAATTGGGTCGTTAAATTACACACATTCCTCCCAAATTCTTTTTATCAATTAATTCATAAAACATACTAATACTGATTATAAGCCTATTTTTTATTTATCTGCATCATAGGCATGATGGTACCTAAAAGCTGTTTAGGGTTATGATGTATCTGACTGAACTAGGTTTATAGTCAGTCAAATTGGGATATTGTGATTTATAATTAGAAGTTTATATTTGGTCTTTGCTTCTTGAGCAGAGCTCCTAAAACCGTTGGAATTTCTTAAGTGATAAGACCTGTAAAGGTGTGTTTTGATGTCCACAACAAACCCCTTTCAACCATACCTGAATTCATGTTAAAGAAATGACTTCTGGAAAGCACCTGAGGTCGGGGGCTGATTGCCACAGAAACCAAAAATATGATTAGAGGGTTGGAGCTTTGAGACCACCTCCTACCCTTACCTCTGGGAAAGGGAGAAGGGCTGGAGGTGGGATTCAGTCACCAAGGGCCAGTGATTCAGTCAGTCGTGCCTGCATCGTGAAGTCCCACGGAAACCCAAAGCACAGGTTTCAGGGAGTTCCTGGGTTGGTGGGCGTGTGGGGGTGCTGGGAGAGTGGCAGGCCCAGAGAGGGCATGGGAGCCCTGCACCCGTTCCCACGTATCTTACCCAGTACATCTCTTCCATCTGGCTGTTCCTAAGTTATATCCTTTTATAATAAATTGGCAAGGAAACTGTTTTCCTGAGTTCTGTGAGGTGTGCCAGCAAATTAATCAGACCCAAGGAAGGAGTTGTGGGAACCTGCTGCTGGTTGGCCAGAAGCAAAGGTGGCTGCCTGGACTTGGAGTTGGCATCTGAGGTAGAGTAAGAGCAGTTTTGTAGGACTGAACCCTTAGTCTGTGGGATCGCACACTGTCTCTAGGTAGATGGTGTCAGTATTGAGTTAAATTGTAGGACACCCAGCTGGTATGGCAGACCTGTTTGGTGTGGGCAAAGCTACCGCTTATCTGGTAACCGAAAGTGTTAGAAATGATGTACTACAGAGTATTATGTGTAATGTGAATGAAAACAATAGTTTTTCTTTATGCAGATCTACAATGGTAAGGTAAAACTTAATATTCCCCAATTTTTCCTGTAGAATTTACACTTGTACTTAAAGAAATAAAATACTTTTCTTTACCATTTATCTGTTGTTACTTGTTATCCACCAGCAGCATGTAATAAAACAGCTAGCTGTACCATGTACATTTTCTAGAAAAATTTCCTCAGTATTTATTGGGTGCCTCAGTCTTTTACCCATTAGGACTGTTCAAATGGTGAGATATGTTCCTTCTTACCCTCTAGCAAGAGACATTCTATAATAGTGAAAATACCAACTTTTAAATCTAGACTACTAAGCAAAAAGCCATTTCTTTTCTAGCCTCAGTGTCTAAAAATCCTAAATGTTAGGCACTTACCCTAGCCTTCTTATTTTTCTTTTCACACATAGGAGTGCTGGGATAGACTTTTTTTTCCCCCTGCCTAAAAACCTGAGAATTAGCCTGGAAATTGCAGGGATATAACTGTACAGATTACATAGCCGGTATCCCTGTAATTGATGAACTCTTACTACATTTCCATAGGAATTTAGAGGCTCAAAAATATATTCTCAGGGCTTAAGTATTGTGATAAGTGTTGGTTTGGTGACCAACAGAAATTAGAAATAATTCAATAGATCATATGGTTGGTAAAAACAAATACTGAAAAGTATCATTGACTGTAAATAATACTGAGGGATTTGGAGTTTCTAGTACTTCAGCAGTTTATTTGTGGTAAACCTTAAGTATAGGAAAATCATAAATGGTTTATGGCATATAACTGCTCCTACCTTCTTTACTTCCATCTTTTTCTGGAATTTGTGTACCAAACTATTTGTGTACCAAACAAGATACAGTACTACATCTTGTTCTGAAACTATTCTTAGGTAGCAAATGAACTTCAGGACCAAGATGAACCGGAGGTTTCTGAAGGACTCACTCAGGCAGTTCTGTTTGTGTCTGTAGATTAAAGAAATGGCACAGGGAAGCCTTTTTACCTCCTTGTGTGCACTAAACTCATGTACTGAAACTACCAGGTAGTGGTTACTTGGTTGTAGGATGCCTGGAAATTCTGAGAGGTTCTGTATATGCTTTGGTTCTGTATATAGTTTGATCTGCTCAGTCCATTTTCATGATTCTGTCTTGTGAATATAGAGGGAATTGTGTCTTATTTCAAGGTTAGGATATAAAGCCAGTGTGTATCTAACAATAGTATTTCAGCAGAATTACCCATGAAAAGTTCTAAAAAGATACCATATCATAAGTATCTTCTTTTTAGGCCCCAAACCAGCACATCTTTCCTGTAGTATGAGGACAGAGCCCTGTCTTCTGCTGAGTACAGGGTTGTCGGTTTGCACTTAGGGGCTGGTCCTATATGAACAATACTTAATCTTTGAGCACTAGAGTCACCGAGTGGCTTTAGAATACGATGTCAGATGTGCAGAGTGGGTTATGGGAGCAGTAGGTTCCTGTCACCATCTCATGGTCACTTAGGCTTCTGTGGTGGGTGGTTCTCCATGTATTTATCTGAATTGAATTTCTCATAAAATTTTGCACAGTGTATATTGTTAAATTTGTGTTAGATGTTGGCTTATTTGAAGTATAAGGTTTAAAATACACTTCCTAGAAGAAGAACATCTGGCCTCAGACTTAACCTTTTCAATCTTTTAGCTTGTATCAAATGGAGTGTAGAAATAATATGTATCTTATGTCACATCTTTAAATTATAACAAGTTGTATATCATAGTTTTAGTTTCTGGTACATTATTTTTTTGTTTCATTTCCTCTCCAACAACATCTCAGTAAATTTGAGTACATATCGAACATAAGGAGGGTTTTGCTTATAAAATAGATTTATTATGGTTTTCAAAAGAAAGCTTTAACTTCTAGATGTCAGTTTAGTTAATCTGTTTTATCTGTTGTTCAAGCAAATTCTTTAAAACATGATAGTTCAGTTTTCCAACTTGTATAAGTTTATATGGCCATTTCTTTTCTAAGACGTGTCTTTGAAATTGATAGAACTTTCAAAGAAACACAGGAATGCTGGTCTGTAGATTCCATGTTGAACTTACGAGTTTAGTTACTCTTCTCCTGGAAGGAGGAAAATGGCAATAGTTTCATGGAAAATACGTTACAGCAGTGTCTATTCACTTTTGCCGTGACAAGTCACCATTTTTTGTCATTCAGCTAAGACGGCCACATCACTGTAATCTTCCTGTGCCTTTTAATGATGCTGTGTCTTTTTAGTGCTACTTAAACCAGGGCCACAGATACAATCTGTATTTTTTCTCTTGTTTTCCCCTATTACTTGTCATTGACGCATGCTTCCTAAAGACTTTTGAACACAGATGCTTTGATATGTAGATACTTTAATATGTAGACGCATGTGCACAGGATCCACTGGCCTTGAGGCGCTAAGTTGCCTATTGTATCTTACACATGCGTGTCTCTCACAGAATTTAGGATTTTCAAAATGCCCCATATATTTTTATTGACTGGCTTATAATACCTCTATTTCTGTCTTTCCCAAGTCCTTCAAACTGGAGTTTCAGAAGTTTCTTCTAGAATTTTCCAAGTCTTTTGGGTCCAGAGGTACTAAACTTTTGTGTTTTTGTCATTTCTCTCCTTTTTAAGTAAAAATTAAGTCCTAGGAGGTGAAAAGGTCCCTAGAACAATATTTTTATTTTATCTTTCATTTATGGGGGTAGGGTGAAGTGTGAGTATATGAGGAGTTGGTTGGTAGGATGGGGTTTCTTTAGATAACAGGAGGGTCCAGATGAGTGACTATGGCCATTGATGGTGTCTTCTTACAGTGGTAAAAGATAGGACAGATGGGTGAAAACAAGCAATTTGTTTAAAACATTTGGTAGGCAGTCTCTTAATTTGGCATAGATGTATGGCAAACTATAACAAATATCCCTCAGGTGTTTGTTTTTTTAGCTGCAAAAATGGTAGTTTCTAGGCTTTCCATTCTTAAGACTTTTAGAAATAGTATAATTTGAATATATTGCTCTTTTGAGGTTCTCTTCTGGGCTAATGAAAAGATGGATTGTCATCGATTACTGATATTGGAGATTGAATTCTTACAGCAGGAGACTCCATTGGTGTCTGGATATTCTTACAGTAGCTGTTCTCAAAGTGCTGTGTATGGACCTTGGGGTTTGTGAGGGCAAAACCATTTTGGTAAGATGGTGCTTGCGTTTTTGTTTTTTTTTAAACTGTTGACATATGCACCATGGTGGAAGAGCAGTGGAAGGTAAAAATTGTTGGCTCTTGGAATTAAAAAGAGGGAAAAAGCCAGTTTTATTTGAGAATTCCTTGATGAAGTAGTAAAAATTATTTTTATTAACTTGATCCTGCATGCATACTTTGAATACGCTGTGCAGCAGGATGGAAATGTGCATAAAGCGCTGCATGGTAAGTGTGATGGGTCTTGGAGAAGCACTTACATGATCGAGTTGCAGGCTGCACTTGTTGCTTTTTCATGGAGAACATTTTCACTTGAAAAAGGGGTTGACAAACAAACTGATTATTCAGATGGGTGGCAAACATTTTCCGTGAAGGGAGCCTTCAAGAAAAAAATAAGAATTTTTGGAAAAGTTGTACCTGTCTCTTTGAGCTTTATAAGCTTCTCAGTAAATACTGATAACTTCTGATAAAATCAGTAGGTTTAATATATATGACCTTTTTGTAAAAAAATATATCAACCTCTGGAAAATCAGCATAACTCAGTGAATGAGTA